ACAGAGAAGGCAAAGCCTACTGGTGTCTGGGAGCTTGAGAGCAGTAGCTGATTGTTCAGTGCAGGAGAATAAGTTTTTCTAGCAGCTGTTTGTTTTAGGAAAAAAGATGCCAAAAACTCACACAGCTTCATTTGGATATTGAAACAGTCTGTGAAAAGAACCACTGTAAGGAAATATCTTGTAGACTGAATTACCTTTTTAGCCAACACATTTCCGTTTCTCCTTGTCTGCAGTAGTTCAGATTTCATTGAACTTGATTGTCCTCCCTTGTGTTTACATTTTCATTTGCTTTTTCTGGCTGATACAAGTCTCATGCTTCTTTAGCAAGACCATTTACCTCCAGCAGGAACAGCAGCTGCAGCTCAAACAGCAGGAGTAGAGGCATTTCTGGCCTTTTAAAGCTAGGGGGTTTACCCTGACTTTGGATTTCTTCTATGCATAGTTTTGCTTAGAGAATATTAGTTGATTTAAATGAGCTACTGATTGACTATTGCAGAAAGTTCCTGATTGGGCCTAGTAAAGAGGTAAGAAGCTTGCTTTGTGGTTCAAGAGCTGGAAATACAAGCCAAATGTATTTCTGTATGGATTTTACAGGAAATATACAGAGCTTGCAAGGAATGAAAGCCTGTCTTTGTTAGGAAGGGAGAAAGGAAAGGAAAGCACACAGAAAAAGATATAAGTTTGAAGGAATGCAGCTCTGGACTTGTCCAGGTTTGCCTGAAGGTAAAAATATTTATTTATGAGGTTGAAAAAAATAATCCAGATGCTCTGTAATGTTTCCTTCTGCAATATGAACAAGGGTACAGTTTGCAAAGGTTTGTGTATTTGCAGCCATCCTGTTTTTGTTCAGGTGGACTGGATCAGAACAGCTCTAGCTGAATTTGTGATACCTAACTGACTTTCATTTGTATATGTTTTCTCAAGTGGTGAATGGACAGAGTGTAGCTGTGGGGACAAGTCAAAATACTGAAAGACTGAAATATTATTTTTAATTCACAAGCCTGCCTTTGTATATTTGGATTTTTAAGGAGGGAAGTGCCAGGAAAACACAGGCTTGGAAGGGTGCAACTGAATTTGGTATGTGTTAGTATTTCAGGTCCTAATTTTTAAGTAAGTTGCTCTTTATGTTCGTGGGTTTTGCTCTTTTTTTTTTTTTTTTTCCCCCAAATGAGTTTTTAATAAGCTGAACTCGCATCTGTTCTTCAGAATGGAAGCTGTACAGTTCACAGTCAGAAGACCCCCAAATAGTTTGTGGTTGCTTAGCGTTCCAGGCAACACGCAGAATAAATTTGATGATTTTGTATTAGGGCTGAAGTACTGGAAGGAGTTGAAGTACTGGACAGGGTTTTCTCTGAATCTTAGAGAGTGCACATGTGGAAAACACTCAGGTCAGTAGTCCTCTGGCAGTCTGTCCATCCTCTTGTTTGTACTGTTGTCACTATGCTTGGATGCTTCTGTGTGATGGCACAGAGAAGGCTAACAGAGGGAAATACACAAAAGATTTTTTTATTGCTTCCATAGCTGTACTTAAGAATTTGACAGGTTTTTTGTGCTTAATATTTCTGCAAGGAGAACCAAATGTGCGTGCTAGAATGTTTGATCTGGTGTGAGGTACTGGCATGTCTGAAGGGTTTACGGTGCAGTGCCTAGGAGAAAAGTCAGACAAGAAGACTTTGTAATAATTGAAGTATACTAGTTCGGTATTTACTTAACTGTGTTCCAGTTCAGATCTGTAACCTCTTCAAGTCTATGGTGTGTCAGGATATTCAACTACTCCAAACAAAGCAGATTTTTTATTGGTTTCTTTTTTAGTTTTTAAACTCAAAACTGAGCACACAGAAAAGTATCACCAAATAGTTACTCAGTACTTCCACATGAAGTGCCAAGTGTGCTTCATTGTCCTAGAAGTGACAGCTTATGAGAAATCACAGCATGAAAATGTCTGTTATTGTCAAGTATATATTTAATGTGATTTCTATTTGCTATAAAGCATAATATCCAAAATATTACATGTGTGATAACATGTAGAGGTATGTATGTAGGAGACAGTTCTGAGGCTGAGACTTGAATCTTTAACTTTTGATTCTCTTGACTTTCCGCTGTATGTTTTGCATTCATTTTTTGTTGGTTATTGAACAGAAATAATGATGGCTGCAGCATGAAGGAAAATCAATAGATCAGAATAAAAACACAGGGTGCATGTCTTGAGATAGCAAGAAGCAGCAGGGTTTACAGATACCAATAACAGTTCTGGGATCAAAGTCAATAGAGTTGCTTCAGTGGAGCTGTCTACTTGAGTTCATTAGACCTTTTTTGAAACAAAACCATGAAACACATACCAGATCCTTTACACACGTGGAAATTTCATACTCTGATATTTACTTGTGCATCCTTTGTGAAGAGGCCTTATATATATATTCCAAGGACTGCAACTCTAATTGAAAGCTTGTTTTTTCTGTGCACCACCAAGAAAGGGAGAAAATGATTCTTCATAGTGTAGTTAGACTGTCAAATAGAAATGGATGAACTAGTATAATACTGAAGGCAAGTACTGCTGGTAGTTTCCTACCATTCTTGCTCTGAATGGAATGCGTGGTAGCTTCCTCTCAAATTTCTAGTGCTGTAATAGTCTGATTCTTCAAACTAATATGAGGAGTTTGTGGAGCCATAAATATTCATTCAAAACAGCATAAAAAGAGTGAATTATATTTGATCTTTAGCTATAAATGACATGTTGTATTTTAATCTAGAAAACTGTTATAAATTGAAATGTAAAATGAAAGAAGATAATGCCATTAGTGGTTGCTGTAGTTGTAGAGTAAACAATACCATTAGTGTTAGCAGTACTTCCTGTGGTATGACACCAGTCAATTATATAATGCCTTGTCCTTATCTGTCCCTTTCTTTTCACTTCTCTCTCCACAGTGCTGCACACCCAAGGTCCCATTGACGGCAGTCTGTATGCGAAAGTGAGAAAGAAGAGCTCCTCAGACAGCAACATCCCTGGTGTTGCTCAGGGTGCTCCTGTGACTGGCAGTCCCGATCACAGTCATCACACCCTGTCTGTTGGTAGTGATTCAGGACACTCCACAGCTTCCATCAGGACAGACAAGACTGAGGAACACCGTATGCCAGGAATCAAAGGTGGTCTGAGCCCGCAAGAGAAGGCAGAACTGGACCAGCTACTTAGTGGCTTTGGTCTGGAGGATTCTGTCAGCACCACCAAGGATATGACTGATGCTCAAAGCAAGTATAGTGGGACTCACCACATAGTGCCAGTTCAAGTTCATATGAATGGAGTCACCAGAGTGAAGGACAGGGAGACTGATATTCTGGATGATGAAATGCCTAATCATGACCTTCACAGTGTGGACAGCATTGGAACTTTGTCTTCCTCAGAAGGGCAGCACTCCACCCACCTAGGGAACTTTAGTTGCCACAAGAGCAGCCAGAACTCTCTGCTTTCAGATGGCTTTGGAAGTAATGCCGGGGAAGAGCATCACAACGCTTTTGCTGCAGACCTGGGAATTGGTGTGGATCTCCTCTATGAGAGATCATTTGGAAGCACTGAGCCAAAGTCAACTCAGCAATTGCAACGGAATCCTTCTGTCTCAGCCCATCCTCAAGCCTATGGTCCAAGTAACTACTCTACTCAGACCTGGGTGCGCCAGCAGCAGATGGTCACTGCTCACCAATATGGTTTTGCCCCAGAGAATGAAATTAGGGTTGGCATTCATAATGCTGTGGAGAATTTGGGCAGCGTCCAGAGCCAATCCCATGTCCCAGACACCCCAACACGTGGCTCCTGCAGCAGAGATGCTGTGCAGAGAGGATTAGGGAGTATGTTGGGTGCTGCAGAAGCTGACGGACATGCAAGTGCTGAGAGTTTTAAGTCAAGGCCAGTGCCTCAGAGGAACACAAGTGGCCTGAATCTAGGACAGAACACTGGGGACTTGCCAGCTTCTCCAACGTTGGATATTGATCAGTCCATTGAACAACTGAACAGGCTGATCTTGGAGTTAGACCCTACGTTTGAGCCTATCCCAACCCGCATTAACACTGTCACCAGCGACAGAAATCAAGTAAATGGCTTTGCCAGCACTGATGTAAATGTGGAAGGGCTTGAGATTAGTCCTGTAGGCCATGACAAATTAGAGGTCACAAACAAGAATCACTCCCGGCATGGTAAGCTGTAATACTTTCTGAACATAATGCTTTTTCTAGCACATGTGTGTTCATGATATGGTACAGCAGGACCCTCAGGTCATGACTTAAAACTTTGAGGATGATTATCAAGGAATTATTTCTGAATCCTCTTTATATAACTGTCCAAAATATTATGGAATCAAATTGATTTAAGATAAGTGAGTTTTGTGGGTACTTGGTTTTTTGCTTGAAAAAAAATACTGTTCAGCGAGTTCTTACCTGTTATGGATTATCAGTTGGGATTTTTTTGCTGCAGTACGTTTAAGGGAGCAGAATTTGTACATTGAGACATTTCTTGAAGGCGTCTGTGGTTTATTTTTTTTCATTATTATATTTTTTTTCATTATTTCTATTTAAAGTAGGAGAAAAAGCTCTGACAACTTTATCTTCAAGTTTAGTGCAATGCTGCTGGCATTAAATTTTTTATGCAATATTTCTATAAATAATGAAATATTTTCCAGTAAAGTATTTTAAAACATGCTCTTTCTGAAACCTTTCTCTGTTTGAAAAATTCACAAGCCCCAGTGCTTGCTTGTGATTTCTGGTTCTGAAATGACAGCAGAAATCACCTGGCGGAATTAAATATGCAACACTTACTGAATATATTGCCTAAGTAATGCTACTAAAACTAGCAGCTTTGCAAAAGGATGAGTAGTCTGCCTCTGGCTAAGTTCACTGAAACCTGTTATTAATGGTGTAGCTAAAATTCATGACAGACAAGCTCTTGCTGGTCTTACTGTTATGTTTGAAGAGTCTGTGTGGTCTAATTCCTCTGGCAGGACATATCCCCTTACCTTCCTTCCTCCCCTTCCATCTTCCTCTTCTCTCTCTTCCTGTCTCCAGTCGTGGTGGAACGAAACAATAACTTGTGTCTCCAGGATTTGATTCAGTATTGGCCGACAGGACAGAAGATGTGCCCGTGGCCTCACTGAACACAAATGAGCTGCTTCAGATCACGCCGTGTAGGATACGCTGAACCATCCAACGATGAGTGTGCCCAACTACAGTGTGTGGGTTCTGTTAACGTGCAGGCCTTGCGTGATTAAGGATAGCATGCTTGTAGAGAAGGTGAAATCACAATTTTCTGTTTAGGAGGGTAACTGAGGACTGAAGAAGTCCAAAAATCCATGATGAATATATGTGAGATTCTTCACTGCTTATTTTTAATACATGGTATGCATTTTGTGACATTAATTACTTTGTAATTCTCTTGAATCTGATGGACAAATTGAGATTTTTTTCAGCAGGAGAGAACTCTTCTCCTTATATACAGTAAATCCAGTGAAGGGAATGAAAAGGTCGCTCAGAATAAGCCACCTTTTACAGTTCTGTGTTTAAAGACATGAAGCTAAGAAGAGATACTTGAATTTTCCTCACAGACTCTGGTCATCTCCCAAAGGAAGGAGGAGTCACTTCCATTTTTAAAGTCAAGTAAATAAAGACCAGTGTCCTTGGGGCATGGTCTGGGAGAGGATTTGTTTTAAAGAATTAGTAGTCAGGAAGTCACATAAGAACAGCCCTTAAACAATATTTTTAAAAAATTAATTAATTTGTGTAGCTTTAACACAATAATAATCATAATTTTTTAAAGTTTGTCTTTATGTCAAGTGCTAAAATGTTCTATTTCTGACTTCTGCAAGTAACATTCAGTTTAGCAAGTTTGATTTTAAACCTGCTCATGGTTCCAAAGGTAAAACAACACATGTGGCGTGCTGTCACCTCTGCTTGAGACTAGGAATTCAGCAGCACATACTGATTTTCCAAATGCTGTAGGATGTATTTATTTACATACCTGGACTTGCCCCACTGATATATAACAGAATCATTTGTGCATGGTGTGCGCAAAGCAACAAGGGGAAAAAGCAATTTAACTGAAAGAATGTTAAGAATTAGGAACACTGGAATATTGATCTGAATCACTGGATTGAGAACTGGCTGCAAGTCAGGTCTCAGAGGGTTGTGATCATTGGCACAGTCTAGCTGGATGCCTGTAGCTCAGGGGTCAGTGCTGAGTCTAGTCTTGTTTAACTTACTGGTGACCTGGATGAAGGGGGAGAGTGCCTCCTCAGCAAACTTGCTGATGACATAAAGCTGGGAGGAGTGGCCATAATCCAGAATGTGTTGGATGTGGTTCATATTGCCTTGGAGTAGCCTCATAGAATTTTATAGAGTTAAAATAAGCAGGAGAATCTCCAAGGCAGTTAATTAGCTATTTAAACTACTGCGGCACAGGAGCTGGAAATGATAGCACAAAGAAATGCTGGCAGCCACGGGGATGAATAAATAGCCACGAATAAAACATAGCCAAAACAGCAGACGTTCACAATCGTTGATCTTACACAGTCAGGTTTTAGGGGGAGCTCTATACCCCGTGACTTTAACAGTCTTTGACCTAACAGGTATATTAAGAGAATGAATTGGCCTGTGACGGACGGAGCTGGCAAATCAGGACTGAATGGTCTGAGTGAGGTTGAATGGACGAATGAGATATTCTGCATGAGTGGGAGTAAACAGTGCTGAGGGTGAACGGGATCGACAGGATGCATGGTGTGCATGTGCCTAATTTGAGGCTGAATTCCGAGAGGATGGTGGAGTTACCTGGTTTCCTGCATGAACATACAGAAAATGTGTGCCTTAAAAGGCACGCGCGTGTTTCCAGTGCCCCACAAAGCTGGAAGAATAAACTCAAGAATGAAATGTGTATGTGTCAGCTGGGATGTACACTGGGATGTACATTATGGTGCATTCTTGCCTCTGCTCATATGATTCTGCATTGATTGACAGATAGGCAGCTACCTCTGCTTCTTCCTAGATGAACAACTGCGTTCACAACTACTGAGTGCCTATGCAGCAGAGTTCTGGGTTCTGTCCAAAATGATGTCTTGGGTTAAGTGCTCAGTGCTTTTGAAAATAGGAAGAAGCAGACAGTGATTGCTGAATTTCTTTTCCTAGGAGGTATCTTTATGAACCGTGTAGAACAGTGACTGGTGACTGCTTTTCTCCTTGTTACGTGTGAATCTCCTTGTGTTACATGTGAATCATTGCACTGTATACTGAGATTTTTCCAACTTTTATCTCTTATGTGAGCTGAGTTATGCGGAGGTGAGTTTCTGGTAGTCAGTGGAGTTGCTGTTTACTAATAACACAGTGCTGCAATAATGTTTAATTTTAAATGACAGGAAATTCGTAGCATGAAGAAATTTTGATGTGTACATAAGCTTTTATCCGCAGCCTTATGTTCCCCCTTTATTTCACTCTCTGTATATTCTTTCGTGCCTAGTAACGTGACTCAGTCTACTGTCATTACTGTCATTGCTGTCATTAATATCTTTAACTGACTCAGCTAAAGATATTTGTAAGACTTACTTTCTCAAACCAGCCATCTTTTACTTCATGGTTTATGCTTATTGGGTAGTGAAGGAAAGCTAAACCAACATTTTGCTTCCACCTAGAAAACTGTAAAAGCAAGAATCTGTTAATAAATGTAGAAAACAGAAAGGTTTTTACCCATTTTCATTAAAACCTACCATTACTGTCACCCATGTCTCATCTGGGCCTCCATCCTTGTCACTGTTAAAATGTTACAATTTGCATCTTTAGAAAAATGTTAGATGCAGTTGAGGAATTGTGTGACCACGCTAAAGCAGAACGCAGAAGAGCACAGTCATTCGAGAGCTGAGGCAGCCTGTTTCACTTTCTGTAACCAAGAGATGCATTTCTGTCTGAATTGGCCAGCATGAGGAAGGGAGGGACTGTATTTTCCATAAGGTTGAAATATATGTTGCTTTCAGCTAATTCTAATTCTTAATCAGGCATAAATTAGTGTGTTTGAAATTATTATCTTAAAAACATGCCTAGGTCACCTAATGTTGTTGGGACAACACGTACACAATTCATACAGCCTTACATTTTGCATGGGGTTTATATAGCTTATCAGCTCAGTAAAGAATTGTGCATTAAACAAAGCATTAAACAAATAAAAATGAGGTGGCTAGGCATCTGATTACAGATATCTGGAATATCTTGAAAGATCCTCCCTCTATTAAAAATTAATATTTGGAGACAGTCTAAAGTACAGTATCATAAATCATACTACAGTGCATCTGCAGACAAAGGAGAGGGGAAGAAATCCTTTTTGCATACCTTATTAAGTAATAATTTTTAAAAGCATTGAACTGTTCCAGATGTTCCCATTCACTTTACTATTCTGTGGGAGAGCAGACTCAGTCTATCTGAAATAAGCTGTGAAGTAAGAGAAAAATAAAGTCCAAATCCTCACCTGCCTTATTTGTATGTACAGTACACTGCAAAAAGTGTTGTAGTTTTCATTGCACAGGAAAATTTTGGTGTCTGACTTGGGAGTTAATTTTACAGTGGTTAAGAGTAAATTTGAATTGAGATTTTTAGCTAAATTAAAATTAAAATTTGATTTTTAAAGTTAAAAGTGGAGTTTTAACTAAATTAAATTTTAAAACTAAACTAAAACAAATAGTTAAACTAATTTTTAACCTCCAGCTAAAAACAGAATTTTAGTTACACTTAGCAGCACTGTAATTTTTAATTTAATTTATGTCATGTACTTTCTCCACAAATTTTTTTTGCATCCTGTAATTTTCAGGATGTAAGCCTTAGTGTAGCATCGTTATGAACTCGCTCTAATGGTTTGGAAATACCATTTTGGATTTTGCAACCAGGCTTGCTGCCCATTCTTGGTATTATGTAAAAGGGCTGAGAAACTGAAGTGTCCAGACCTGGCTGCTCTCTGCCCTACATGGACAGGTTTGATGGTCTGCTTGGATTTGGGGTAGAGTTTAGACCTTTTCGTTTGCTTGTTAGACTAATGGGTTATAGGGAGTCTGCTCTGCTAGTGATCTAGCTGTTCTAGATAGGGGTAAAAAGAATAGTTTGCTTGTGAATCATTGCTAAATATGGGGTGCAGCATCACTTTGTTCTACATTTTAGAAAGATTAAAGCACTGAAGATGTCACAGACACAGCTTAATTGGTTTTTTTTTTTTCTAATTAATCCCTTTGAAAAAGTGTTCCCATAGATCTGAATCTGAAAATTTGTGGATATCAAGATACTGCTTTAGTACTTGCATCAGAAATCCACCAAGGTTGTGGGTTTGATCTCCATAAGGGCCATTCATTGAAGAGTTGGACTTGATGATCCTTATGGGTCTCTTCCAGTATTCTGTGATTCTGTGATTTCTTTTTCAGCTGGGTATATATTTACTTATCCTTTTTCCACCACAGCAGTGTTTAGCTTGAGTTTTGTCTTGCTGCCTTTGAGGATGGTATTTTTCTTTTAAGTGTGACTGTAAAGGTGATTCTAAATTCTTAAAATAGGTTTGGTATGGTTTAAACATAAAGCTGTCTTGAAAGCTTAATTGTTATAAGCCTTCAAAAATCTTGAACTTTGTAGCAGATAAATGGTGTCAGAGAAGGAAATCACTTTGGATTTGGATGGTGGTGTTGGTAACGTTTTTTAGTATGTGGGGTAGTCCCTAAATGCTCCTCTGTTAGAAGTTAACTTATGGACTTTTTTTT